GACCTCGCTTCCAACTAGAAGAGGGGATTTCATTGGCGTAAATACATATTTTTATGTTAGCGTATATTTATTTTAAGCGTATACATGCGAACTCCAATCACAAATGTTCAATTTGGTATTCGACATTGTGTTATGCACGACAATAAACAGATATATCGTCGAACTAAGTTTAAGCATAGCTACGATGTGGCTCTGTCACTAGACTATTAAGCGTCGCTGGTATGTCCGATAGTCCAAGTGGCATGATCGACAACCCAAGAGCACTTCGTCGAAATCACCGCTGTGAGAAGAATATCGCTGTCTATCAGCAAATGATAATAACCGACAACTAATTCGAGCTGTAATTGGCGTTGCGCTCGTATCGTAGCTGCATTTTACATACCACAAGCATGCGCGATTCTTCACTAGCCGTTGACATCTCTTACATGGTATGCCGGCACCGAAAATATAGATTTAGGGTTGAGATTTACTTTCTCACATCGAACATCCTTCACGCTTGCGCGGAAGTAAGCGTCGATGACTTTAAACTGTTCCCTTGGTAAAGTGAAATGCCTGTGACGCGATGTTTGGTTCCGGAAAATTTGTCAAATACATGGCGCACTCTTTTCTCCGATGGTAACACGCGTGCTAAAAACTTTGTCTTTGTGCCAATATATTCTTCCATTAAAGGACAAAAAGGACTCGTGAGATCCATGAGATTGGCTGCCTCGTTCCTCACACTCAGTGCTCTGCGAGTGCCTCCACGACAGAGTCAATCGTGCATATAAAATTAAAAAAACATATAATTCTTAATTAATTTTCAAAATAATAATACACAAATTATTTTAAGAACCAACCCACCATTAATAAGAACCTACTCTCTTGCGAATCCTAGTACATATCCTTGAAAGATGATTATCCCAGCTCTATAAGAGCCATAGTAGGGGGGAATAGCTCACGACGCCTGGTCACTCTCAGCACAGTAAAAAATCGCCATTTATTTGTGGAGCTTCACTGCTTTGTTCGGTGGAACTTTCAGGCGGTATTGCTGACTCAGTAGTACCGTCACATCTCCAGCGCCTAAACCATTTACTGGTAACTTACAGTCGACCTTCAACTCCACCAACTCAGGCACAGCTGATTGCGATAGCGGACATTTCCGCTCTCCACTGGCTCTGTCTGGCCCAGGAGCTTCCAAGTCACAGGTGTGCAGTCCGGTCCCGCCAGATAAACACTAATGAACATTGCATTTGCCGTGGTGATGCTAGGAGGGATCACGAAACATAGTTGTTCTTATCCATCTTAACATGTATACACTCCGAGGCACCTAGTTTTTGGCTTTTGATCACACATGGTCGCGGCAATCCGGCGTCCCAGCCACGCCATGTATAGAACACAATTGCACCTTGAAAAATTATTTTGCGCGGTCAAAGTTGTCAAACATCACTTGAATGTGCAACATAATTTTGTCACGTCTCATTCGAAAGACATATTGATATCGTATCCGTCTTTGACATCTTCGATATCCCCACATTCTGTTCCCAACAGTTGCGCGTTGTACTTCTGAGTTTATTAAGACTTGAATTCACATGAAATGTTTTTAACCAACGACCCTTGGCTTGGGTCTCACCTGTTTTAAAGAAGTCGCATCATTCAGGGCTGCGTGCGACCTCTATGAGGTAAGGTACAATAGAGCCCAGTTATTTCTCTGTCGTCCTGCGCCTACTGAAAATATGACTTTTTGCAAGAAAAGTTCGCCGTCCGCCCAGCGTGAAATCCCGACATTTTGTACCTCTTAGCCGAGAGCAATGGGGCACACAAGGCGCAGATGCCGCGTACTACCGCATGTAAACATCTGCGGGTATGGCGGATCTACTCAGCAGCTAAAAGACCCTTTCTTTCTTCACAGTAGGACTGAGGCATATTGCCTCTAATGCTCTATTATGTAAGGTAAAAATTATTTAACACTTCAATTTTTCGCAAATTACATTTACTTATAAATAATTAACTCTAAAATGAAAACGAGTTCCTGCTACCTGAGAGATTATGGGCACGGCATCTGAATTGATCACTTGTGCGTTTATTACCGCAGACTCGGCAAATAAAAAAACTTACTTTGTGTGAGGTACCATGTTACAAGAAATGCCGCAAATGTCCCATGTCACCAGTTGCAGCACAGCGTAGTTCAGATCATCGTTTCTTCGTAAAGTAATGACACACCAAAATTCTGTACACATGTACATGTGTATTTCATCTCCCGCAAGCTGACGACTAATTATACTAAACCAAAGGGCATCAGTGTGGATATCTTTGCTATCAATATGTACATTGCTCTAATGCTCCAAAATTAATTTCAGGCAAACTGCCGCTGAAAGTTCTTGTACGATCAGATGTTTGTGTGATATTTACTGCTCTTCAACTTTACAACTATTGGCTCTACAAAACTTTGTTGCCTGCAGATCGCTTTTACGTAAGCCCGTTTCGTTAATCTGATGTAGATATGAGGAGAAAAGTCGTCTTATACGGCTTTTCGCCTGATCCCTTCAGGATGTTGAATTATGAAATGGCTGAATCTTACCCATCGCGTTGTTACATCCTAAACGCTCTTTACATGTGACCTACCAGGTTTTTGAAGAAAAAAGTAAGTAATACTCATGCTCAGATAGCCGACGTAAAGAAACCATGACTGGTTTTAAGATTGACCTCATTTCGATTTTTGCTTGAAGCTAGAGAAAGCTTATAAACGATATTGAAGCTATGGGGAAACGGAGTCCTGTGTGTTGAAATCGAAACAGCGTCTTGATATTGTTGACTCCAGAATATTACTCTCTTCGATCAAAAGACTTGGTTATTGCTTGATTTGCGGATAAAATAGAGTTACAAGATCACGTAACGAAGGTTTGAGTGTTTGGCTTTCATATGACAGGTTTATATGACTAACAATGCCTTCTTCTAATCCTTGCAAATACAAAGTTACAGAGCAGACCCTGTTGACCTATTTAACAATCAGTTGACGGCACCAGCTATGTTTGGCCACTACACAACAAAGCATAGATGTTTGAAGGGAAGAGAATATCTTGTTCTCGTACTGCTGCGCATCAAATGTATTGGTGGCAAAATTGCGAGCGGGCGAAAAACGAGTAACGCTGCTCTTTGTATCACTAGTTCGAACCTATACGCGCTTGACGACTTAGAAACCTACTAACTCAACGTCAAAGCTTGTTGTTGGTACCGATTTTTCCCGCAAGCACAATCAAATAGTAGATCCTCCGATTTGATTGCGACGTTTTCAATTTTCAACTTACCTATGCAGCCAACATCTACATCTTCCATCTATTTTTCATACAAAGTCAATTCTGCTTATTATGGTATAAATACATGTCCATGACGACTACAAACAGTTCCATGATGACTACGGTAAGGTGCGTTGTCACCGAATACTAACATTTTTTTGTATGAGTTGACAATCAATTCGCGCCCAGATCAACGCATCGTTTTTGATTTACTAAATAACACAGTGCTTTCGAGACATGAACTTGTTGCGGATCGAGTGAAACACAATTAGCGACCGATGTGACAACGGACGAAAATTTTCAAGCCTCGGAGACAGTTTTATGTTCGCAGCAGCGGGAAGCTCACATGTAGGCGATGAAGCGTCTTCCTTCTGTTGCCAATCGTCTTGCCTGTCAAGGTGAATTTGGAAAGCTGTAGAGTCGCGTAAAGTAGGAGGAGTACCCGGCGATTCTGGAAATGGTAGTGTCGGAGTTCCATCGTGCATGGTCACCGCGAGTCCGGCTTTTTGATTATCGGACACTACATACGGATGCAGCGGTGACAACATCTCGTGCAGAATATTTAGGGAATCCCTTGCGCTTCCCCCTTGAGGTGATCTTGACTGCGCAAGAACCGGACTTTCGACTGAAGGAGAGACGCGCTGAGCCCCAGCATCAGCTCGTAGTCTTATAAACCGACTGGTGACGGATCCCGATTGCCAGCACGCGAAAACTTGTTCGTCCGACCTTGTATTGTGGAGTGCACACATGGCGCAACAAACACGCTGACCAGCCACCATTTTCTCCAATGTAAAAACTGGATCATCAACGTCTTCTGCAGTCGTAACATCTTCGTCTACATCGTTCAGTATGGTATTGGTCGAGGAGCTGCTCTGTCCTAATATATCGTTATCTGACTCTTTGTCCTCGTCAATCTCAAACACGAACGAGTCGGAAAATGGTTTTGCTAGCGTTTGGTCATTTCCAGGTGACTTAAAAGCCTCCACTGCATCAATCCCACTGCGGTTCGTAATAAATGTTATCACCTCGGGCGCGACTTGATCCATCAAAACCTTGCATCTCTGATTAAGTGGATTCAGTAAAACTCGTTGCAACGTGGCTAACAGTTTGACTAGATCTTGGCGCCGCCTCTCTACAATGCGAGACTTGACTTTGTCGCTGGAAAGTCGAAAGAAATAACTGGCCGTTCGCTCAGTAGGTAGACTACGTTGCACGTATGAAAAGAGCCACGGGCATTCGGCGAAACATAAGTGGCCGCGACTTAGCACCTTGAGAACTCGATTTTGAAATGCTTCACACTCAGAATAAGATCGAAGATGACGCCAAGTTGAGCTTGATTTGTTGTCGTGAACTGTAATCGCAAATGTTAAAGCATCCTTCGTCAGTGACTTCGTCGTCACCTCAACGGTCACATTGGATAGGTAGACGGCACTTGAAGGCACAATTATTGAACATTTCGAAGCTTTAAAATTCTTATGAAGGTGATTGGCGTAGAGCGCAGAGCATTTAGGGTGGCGATGCGTTGGAAACTGCAAAGAGC